GCACAGTTGCTGGGAGCCAAAGCCATTTAGAGGTAATAGCAGCAAAATGCCTGGTGCAGATAATGTGTTTATTGGCTCACAGCAGTCAGAGAATCCTGGGATCAGTGAGCAGGAAGTTTATCTCCCCGCAAGAGCCATTTGCTGAGATTTGCCTGAGTCTTTCTCTTAATATCCTGTCCCTACTGGTTTCCTATTTCAATCGCTACATGAATGACAAATTCAGCCCGCTGTGTCATATTTAGCATTGTGACCTCTTTGCCCTTGACGTGTACTTGGATTTGGGGGACATTCAAGGTTACAGGACCCGTTCTGTTAGAGAGGGAAGAAAACAAACACAAACACAGTTTGAGTGCCCTGCTCTGTGCTAAGCAGTGTGCTGGGTGCCCTCAGCAGGAGTGAGAGACCAGGTTTGGCCAATGTGGAAACTGAGATTCAGAGAGGTTACACAGCATCCCAAGGTCACACAGCTATTCAGAGCCTGGTAGAACCAAGTTTTAATGAACCCAAATTTGAATGAGGGTTTCTGACTCCATGGTCACGTTCTTTGCACAGCTCTAAAATGATGCTTTCACAAAACTCTGGAGGCAGGTACCTGTGTCAGCTGTTCTTCATAAATGCTGCACTGGCACATTTCTTTGGAGTCAATGTCTGTGATCGTGTTTTCTTTCACGTCACTTGTTTCATCTAGTTCAGGTCTGTTACAGGGTGTGTCCTGGTGTGGAAAGTAGTAACACTCAATCATTTACAAGGAAAACTGGACTGAGGCTTGATATACACGTTTGATGTTAGGGTTGGGAACGGGTTTCCCAAATCTCGAGTGCTTACTCTACGTGGTAGGCAGAGTAGGGGAGTTGGCGTAATCCACACGCTCTGCCTTTGGAGAGCCTAAGCGAAGTTGAGAGGGAGAATATTTACACCTGTGAAGATGGAGTACCAATCAGCTGAGGTGTGTAGAACGAAGGGTCTCAGGCATTCATGCCAAAGGCTGGTTTAATGAGTGACCGGGGCTTCAGGGGAGGGAGCTCTGACTGTGACGGGGAGGGTCGGGGAGGTTTGGCGGTGGATACCGGTCTTCCGTCTTGCATGATGGTGAGGCTTGGATGGGTGGGAGGAGTGAGGGGAGAGTGGGGTTGGGGGTGAGTGGGTGAGGACGAGGGGGCACTCCTGGACGAGGGAGCGCCTTACATGCCAAGCTGAGGACTTTGGGTTTAACCCACAAGGATGGTAATAAGGAGCACCGTAAGTCCGTGAGCAGAGGGGTGGCTCAGGGAGAGCAGGGCTTGTAGCAGAACATGCGTGCATGGGCTGGATGGGTGCCGGGGAGAAACCCCATCCACATTTGTATTTGGGGTGCTTCAGGCCGAAACAGCAGTATTGCCAAGTGGAGGTCAGTTTGTGTTGCTGTAGGAAGTGAACAGAAAAACCGAAGTTACGAGAGCATCCTTTCCCGGCATCACCTCCCGGGTGGTGCTGGCTGGGTGGCTGAGGACTGGAATTAGGATGCTTAATTTTTACAGTCTATACCTTCGTTAACTATTTATTGTTGCTATGGGGACAGAGCAGGGGTTATTGTCCTGGATCACGTTAGGCTGAGCCATGTGAAGTTTCCATTTTTTGGTAATTGGAAGAACTACTGGCGATTTCATATGGTTCCGCGTAATCGATTTTGTAAGTTGTTGTTGGAGACAGGCAGACGTAGCCTGGCCTTTGGCTTTCTGGTTGGGTTATCTGGGGTGGCTCCTGGGATCATGCCATTTACAGTCAGCCTGAAAGTACTTGGGGCGTTGTTTTCCTTGGGAGATGGACTGTTCCTGGAGACAGAGCCCAGGGATGTGCCAGGCTCTTCCTCTCCCTAACGTTTGCTCTCCCTGCCAATGGACCAGATATTTAGAGGCTCCTGATTTTTCTTCTCTTCTTTAAAGAAGGAAAATCTGCTCTGGACCAAGAATTTTAAAGGAGGAAGGAAGGCTTGTGGAAGAGAGGTTAAAAATAATTGCATCTTGAGGCTGTGTTTTCCTAGTACTCCCCAGTAGCATGATGCAGACAGAACCAGACGTGCCATTTCTGTAGCTCCCAGTTATGCTGGGGAGGCGGGGAGGAGGGGGACTGAGTTCTTACTCTGGCCCCAGATTGCAGAGGCTTTAGGTGAATTTGAGAATACCTGGGCCGTGGGCTGCACATGCCTGATGGTGGTAGGACGGAGGCTGAGCTGCACTGTCTTCATATCCTTTGTGTCCGCGCCCTGGGATGGGGCCACTCCTGTGGAGCCTCTCCTGGATTCAGGGCTGGAGCATGCCCAGAGTGCTCTCCTAACCCCTGGAGACGGGACAGATTCTGAGCTAGGGTCTGCTGCAACCAGCTGGGCACAGAGTGTGCACCCTCTCCCCACCCCAGCTCTGGGGACTGCAAGCCAAGTCATCTGTCACTACGCCCAAACTCCACAATTTCACTGTTTGGGACCTTGAGGTCTCATCATGACTTGCCTCTCTGTCATCCTGTGTCACCACTCAACATGTGACCCACAGTGTCTGTCCTGTTCCTGGAGTCCTGTTGTGTCTCCTGACATCCCATAGCGGACCTCCTCGGAATCCCCTTCCACACGAAATTCTCCTGCATCCCTAATGTCACAGAATACCCCTTTGTCCTCCTAGTTCTCCCCCGAAACTTCCTTGGAGTAGAGAAGTCTTTTCCCTTTATTTAGCCTGGAGAATATGTATCGAAGGTCCCACTGTGTGAGAAGCACCGTAAGGAAAACAAGCGAGAACCCTTAGCCCCTTTGTACACATGCGTTTGAAGGTCTCCTTCCTTGGCACCTTTCCTGTTCCTTAGGGAAACACAAACTAGTATTTCTGCTGGGGACCTCTCTCCTTCTCTATTAGCATCAATGTCTCAGCCAAAAATGGAGGCAGATCAGAGAGAATAGCAGATGTCCATAAATAGTTTAACTGTAAGTGTGGTTGTTAAGCTCATAAATTTATGGCATGTGGGAAGAGCTGTCCCAGTCACTACTTGTCATCTAATCAGACACCTGTGTCTAGATGGAACTTCATCCTGGAACAGATTGTATGTTATAATTAAAAACACAAAAAAACATTTTGTGTAAATACGCTGGGCCAAATTGCCCATCCTGGCGCCACCGGAGTTTCTGCCACAATTCAAATGCACTTAAAAAATAATTATTTTTAACTTCTTTTTAAAGGAAGCATAATCGGCAGATTCATGCATGTAGGATAAGACCTAGGGATCCTGTGGGGGTAATTTTAATAGTTTGCAGCCCACCCTCAGGGCTCACTTGAGTTACACATTCTGTCGTTTTCCTGTTGTCCTTTCCTGACCTGGACAGAAATGGAAATTGAACCACTTCTGTCTCCACTACAGGCATACCTCAGAGCTATTGTGGGTTTGGTTCTGGAGAACTGCAGTGAAGCCAATATCCCAAAAAAGCCAGTTACACAAATTTTTTGGCTTTGCAGTGCATGTAAAGGTTATGTTTACACTCTGCTGTGGTCTGTTAGGTGTGCAATAGCATTAAGTTTAAGAATAACAATGTATGTATCTTAATTTAAAAATATTTTGTTGCTAAAAAATGCTAGCCATCGTCTGAGCCTTCAGGGAGTCAGAGTGGTGACACCTAATATCACAGATCACAGATGACCGTAAAAAATATAATAATAACAAAGTTTGAAATATCGTCAGAGTTACCAAAATGTGGCACAGAGACAAGAAGTGAGCACATGCTATTGGAAAAATGGTGCCGATAGACTTGCTTGATGGCACAGATTTTCAATTTATAAAAAATGTGGTATCTTTAAAGCATAAGAAAGTGAAGCACAAGAAAATGAGTTGTGGCTCGGTACACTTGATCAGGAAGTACAGAGTCCTCTTTCCTTCATTTATTCTGTTTATCAGGAAACACCATGAGAGTGAGCACCTCATTATTAAAGCTCTAAACATGAATATATATGTTTAACGGAGATACTGGGGATTGAACCAGAACCTCATGGATGGTAAGAATGCACTCTACCACTGAGCTATAACCTTCCCCTCAAATATGAATATGACGTTGGTTTCTTTCTTTCCTTTTTTTAAAAACGAGAGGAAAAACCATTTGGAGAAGATCACCATGTCATGTTGGCCCATGAGTTCCTGTGATAGCAGGTGAAGCTGTGCATGGTAGACCTCTACTTTATTGACAGATTACATTGCTACCAAAGTGAAATGAGCATCCAAGAGAGATATTAAGAGTGTCAGGACAGTATTAATGCCTGGCAATCACCGTGCCCTTACTGTGTGTCAAGCACTCCTTTCAGTGAACTGTAATCATTTTCTCATTTACTCTTCACAAAAATCCTGGGAGGCAGGTGTTATCATTCATAGATGAAAAAACAGAACTCATGTGATTTGCCCAAGTTCACCCAAAGAGTCAATGCCCCCCCAGGATTCAAATCCAGACCTGTGTCAAACTCTGTGATCAGAACCTCTTCATATATTGCCTCGCCTTGGGTGGGTTGAAAAATGAAGCTGAGAAAACTGTTCTTGGCAAAGAGGTGGGTAAGATTTGAGGTCTTTAAAGGTCCAGAAAGTTCTGATCTTTCATTGGTGTTTCCTGGGCAGCAAACCTTGGACCTTTTATCTCAGTTGTAGATCCTCGAAGGTCCGCTCACTTCAGGGTCGTGGAAGTTGTGTTCATGGTCAGACCTTGCTGAGAAGGGGCCACTGAGAGATAGCCCATCCTGGGGGGTTCCTGGGAGACCTGGGGGAGCCAGGCCCGAAGGCTGTCCACATCAGGCCTGAAGTGGACACTGTTCTGCACGTCTGGTCTCTCATGAAGACTGGGGATTAGACCTAACGTGTAAAGGCACCATCGTTTCAAGCAGATCCCCTAAAGAGCACACTTCTAACCTGTAACAGAATCAGCCATCTTTGGTAACGGTTTGGTGCAGGTCAGAGGGCTCTTTGAACCCATTTGACCAACACTGTGTTGTCCCTTCCTCCCACAGGACATCGAGGCCTATGTGACCATTCTCTAAAGTACTTAAGCTCGAAGATCACGGAGCGGAAGCTGCAGGGCACGTGGCTGCCAGCTGGCCGAGGGAGCCTGGAGAAACCATTACTGGGGCCACGCGGCTCCGAGGTGCCTGTGTTCAGCCCCCAGTGTGGCCTTCACCCCGTCCACGCTGAGAGCAGCCCGCTGAAGCCCCGGGTTGTGACCGTGATCAAGCTGGGCGGGCACCCCCTCCGCAAGATCACGCTGCTTCTCAACCGGCGCTCAGTGCAGACCTTCGAGCAGCTCTTGGCCGACGTCTCAGAGGCCCTGGGCTTTCCCCGATGGAAGAGTGACCGCGTGAGGAAGCTGTTCACCCTCAAGGGCAGGGAAATCAGGAGTGTGTCTGAGTTCTTCAGGGAGGGGGATGCTTTCATCGCCATGGGCAAGGAACCACTCACGCTGAAGAGCATTCAGGTGGCTGTCGAGGAACTGTACCCCAGCAAAACCCGGGCCCTGACCTTGACCCAGCACGGTCGGGCCCCCTCGCCAAGGCTGAGAAGCCGGCTTTATAGCAAGGCTCTGAAAGGGAGTCACCATGGTGGGGAAACGGAGACCAAGAGCTGTGGTGAGGCTGCCAGATCCCAGGCCACCGTCAGACTTCTGGGGAAGACCCCTGGGGAGGACAGGTTGAGGGCCCGGAAGATGTGGGTCAGAGGCAAGAGGGAGCCTGAGCCTGATAGCAAGGTGCCCAGGGAAGCCACTCTGGAGAGGGAGGCCAGCGGAGAGAAGCACCTGGGGGTAGAGATTGAAAAGACGTCGGGTGAAATTATCAGGTGTGAGAAGTGCAAGAGAGAGAGAGAGCTCCAGCAGGGCCTGCAGAGGGAGCGGCTCTCCCTGGGCACCAGTGAGCTGGACCTGGGCAGGTGTCCACGCTACGACGTGGACAAGCTGGTGAGGACCAGGAGCTGCAGGAGGTCCCCCGAGGAGAAGCCCCAGGGTGCAGAGGAAGGCTGGAAGGAGGGCCACAGGGGCAGTCCCGGGCACCCCCCTCAGGAGCTGGGGAGACCCAGCAAAAACACAGACAAGAAAGAAGACAGAGACCCCAGAGGCCAGGAGGGCCATCCCCCAGCATCAGCCAAGGCCAAGAAGGACCTGGGGGAAGTTCAGCCTGGCCGAGAGGAGGGGCCAAGAGACAGGAAGAAAGACAGCAGGAGCGCAGGCAGGAGCAGGCAGGGAGGTTGGCCTCTGAAGGAGCATCAGGCCGACCTTGACCTGGAGAAGCTCCCCAGGACGCAGAGGGATGAGCAGGAGGTGGAGAAGGAGAGGAAGCTAGGGATGTCCAGAGGGAGAAAGATGGTACTCCAAGACGAGCCGCCGGCCAGGCTAGAAAAGGAGTCCAAGACAAGGCCAGAGGAGAATAAGGCCGAGCGGCCGGCGGCAGGAGGCGGCGGCCCGCGGGCATCCTGGCGGCCGACGTGCGGAAGCAGTACGAGACAGGCCGCGTGATCGGGGACGGGAACTTCGCGGTGGTGAAGGAGTGCAGGCACCGCGGGACCCGGCAGGCCTACGCCATGAAGATTATCGACAAGTCCAAGCTCAAGGGGAAGGAGGACATGGTGGACAGCGAGATCCTGATCATCCAGAGCCTCTCTCACCCCAACATCGTGAAACTGCACGAAGTGTACGAAACTGACACGGAGATCTTCCTGATCATGGAGTATGTGCAGGGAGGAGACCTTTTCGATGCCATCATAGAAAGTGTTAAGTTCCCGGAGCGCGACGCCGCCCTCATGCTCATGGACTTGTGCAAGGCGCTGGTCCACATGCACGACAGGCGCATAGTCCACCGCGATCTCAAGCCAGAAAACCTGCTGGTAAGGCCGGCCCTGCTGCCGTGGGAGAGGGCGTTATAAAGTCCGGGATCCAGGGAGGAAAAGAAAATATATATATATATATATATATATATATATTTTATATATATTTATATATATTATATATATATTTTATATATATTTATATATATATGTCAATTTACAATGTGTTAATTTCTGGTGTATAGCATAGTGATTCAGTTATATATATATTCCTTTTCATACTTTTTCATTATAGGCTATTACAAGGTATTGAATATAGTTCCCTGTACTATACAGTGGGACCTTGTTGTGTATCTATTTTATATATAGTAGTATATGCAAATCCTGAACTCCAAATTTATTCCTCCCCACTCTCTTCCTTCCCTGATACCCTTAGGTTTGTTTTGTATGTCTGTTGAGTCTGTTTCTGTTTTGTAAATAAGTTTGTGTTCTTTTTTTTTTAGATTCCACATATGAGTGATAGCATATGGTATTTTTCTTTCTCTTTCTGGCTTACTTCACTTAG